CCTCGAATATATTTTCCAAATAAATTTAGTCGTCTTTTATTTTAAGCTCAATCTCTCCCTGGTTTATTGCTGCAGAGAAAGGAACAGGAAGACGGGTTTTTGAAGTTCGCAAGGAACGCAGTCCCTGTTTTATTTTGCTAGCAATGGGACTTCCAAAATTTTTTAGAAAACGGGGTCAAAAACTGCATCAGGGAATAAGGGGTGGGAGTGGGGGGTTGTCCTTTGATTTTCTAAATACTCGGCAATAGACTCTCGCGAGTGTTCCAGTGCCCTCTAAATTTGGATGCACTGAGGCACCAAGCTAATTGCTTCCCCCCCCCCTTAATTAACACCCAGGCACTAGGATTGCACTCCAGAGGCCCACTCCAATAGAGGCTGGTGGGTGTCTCCAGAATCCAGCTGCCTGTGCTGGTGAAAGGCAAACTATAAACGAGCCCTCGAACTTCTGCAGAGGTCCTGGGTAGGGGTGGTGGTGGAACTGCATGAAAAACTGGGAGATGTTGATTCCACTTGTTGCGCTTCTGGATTCTTTGGATCTTTGTAGGCCCGAAGACTACAACAGCTGCCTTCCTGTGGAGGGATTGTGATGGATCTGTTCGGCTTTTCATCCTTCCTTTTCCCCAGGAGTCAAGGAGAGTGCCTTTCGAAGAGGGGGGAAATCCACATTTTAAACACGTGCTTTCATAGCGAAAGCCTAGGCTTGTCTATTCAGAGGCAAAGCCCTGGAGAACAATGAGATTTTCTTCCAGGAAAAGTGTGCGCCTGTTTGCACCCTAAACCAGCCACTAAGGCTGCAATCCTATAAACACTTCCAGGGGGTGAGTCCCATCGGGCTAAGCGGAATGTGTGTGTGCGCGTGTAGAGTTAGAGGCGCATAGGCTGTACTGCTACGGAGTGTGCCTTAGTCTCGAGGCAGCTGATCTATCGAAGGACCATTTTAAAAAATCTTTCTTTACTCCACTTCGGGAGTAGAGATGTCTCGGCCGACGCCACAGAACCCTGTCCTGCCCAGGATCTGACAACAGCTACTTATCAAAGATCTCAGCTGGGAAACGTTACTTTTAAAAGGAACTAGTAAAAGTAACGTTTCTCGCTCTTCCGAAGGAGACACTCGAACTGACCCGATACCCGTCGTGGTCCGGATCAGGCCGCTGAGCCCCAGTGTGCAGTCTCCCTCCCCTCCAAAAAAAAGCCCGCACACTATAACAGTCCTGCGGGGGTCTCAAGAAAGGGCTTTTCTCGGCCTTCCAAAGAGCCGGGAATGCTTGAAACAACCTCAGGAAAAGGAAAAAAAAAGGAGCCGGGCAGAGGCAATGTTTTAGATCGGCGCATCCAGATGGAGTGAAATATAATGGCGTTTAAGGACCACGTTTGCGCTACTAGGTGTTTCGTTAATTAAAAGGTAGAAAACGTGTGTGAAAGTGTGTGCGCATGTTTATGGATATAATCTCTATACATCACACACACACACATATATAGTATTTTATTCGTTCGAATGGTCGACATTTGGGCGGAAAGGCTTTAAACTAAGGAGCCTTTTTACCTAGGAGGGGCAATTCCAGGGTAGGCGAAAATATTGCCTAAAGGAGATCTGGATAATCGCGTTCTTTTTCCAAGACAAGAAAACGACTTCAGCCTCAAGGGGACTCCTCAGGAAAAGGCTGGCTCCGCCCTGCGTTGCCTTTCAGCCTCGGAGTGTTTGTCCTGCTCATCAAGTGCCTTCTTCCCTTCCATCCCAGCTCTGATCCCGCCTCTCTTATCTCCAGCTCCCCGATTCTACTGAACTGAGCCCCGCTTTCGTCAACAGAGAATTTATTTAGAGCCTATTTCCATCCCCGCCCCAAAACCGTCCAAGAGCGGCGGATTTAAGCCCACACAGGTGGAAGTGACTTCCACGGAAATCGGCAAGAGACTATTTCAAATAATAGGTTTAGGAGGATTGGGTTGCAGAGATCTTAAAACAATTTTCTCTCATATTGTCGGCTCCCAGAGGAGGCTGCTCCCTCAAGTCTCACTTTCAGTTATCTGCAAATATGGCGATCCTATAGACATTAGCAGAAATGTATTTCCAGTAATAAT